TTGAGCTCCTCGTCGTTGCGGACAGCCAGCTGCAGATGGCGGGGGATGATCCTGGTCTTCTTGTTATCACGAGCAGCGTTTCCAGCCAACTCCAGGATCTCAGCAGTCAGGTATTCCAGCACTGCAGCCAGATAGACGGGAGCTCCAGCGCCCACGCGCTCAGCGTAGTTGCCCTTCCTCAACAGCCTGTGAACACGGCCGACTGGGAACTGCAGCCCAGCACGAGAGGAGCGGGTCTTGGCCTTAGCCCTGGCTTTGCCTCCGGTCTTTCCACGTCCAGACATGATTTCTGACAAAGTTGTTTCTTTCGGAGAAATGAAAGAAGTGTATGACGCAGCCTGCGTAAATACTTTATAGATCCTGTCTGTTCAGTGATTGGCCTGGTCTGAGCAGAAAGGCAACCGTCCAATCAAAATGGTCTGTGTCAAGTGTACGATCATGGGAGGAAACTTCCGCTTCGTATTTGCTGAGATTTACAAAATAAAAGCCCGAACCATAAAGGTAGCAGTTGTTTCATTTTGGATGTAAATTTCAATAAATTACTGCGCAGTAATATACGGAAAAGGATTAAGGGCACTGAAAACAAAAAAAATACTGATTTTTAAATTTTATTTCAATTTAATTTGGGAAAAAAGTCAGAATTATGACTTTAATCTTAGAATTGTGGCTCTAAATGTAGATGGGCACCAGGAATGAAGAGATGTGGAGCACTCTGCTTCACTGACAAAGATGTGAGTTGTGTGGGAGGAACAGTAACAATGGTGGAAAATGATGCAATTAGGCAATTGTTTAGGTACCAGAGGGGCCCCTGGTGATGCTATTTCATTAATGGCAGAGCAGAAGGTGATTAAAACAAGAGAGCTAGTTTAGTCTCCAAAACAGATATGGCTATGGCTTGATGCTAACATGTTTGTTAGCTGTCAGAAAACAGTCAGAATTGTGACAAAAAAGTCAGAATGTTATACTGAAATAAAATTTTAAAATCAGTTAACTTAGCCCTAATCCTCTTCCATAGTAATATCCTATATTTTGTTATGCCAAAACAACATGTCTATTCATTGTTGTGTCTCAAAAGCCATATATCAATTTTCTACAATAAACATTAGATTTAACGACGTAAAATATACAAGAGAAATACTTCTGTAAGTGCTACCTTTTTACATGTTAATATGTATTTTTTTTCTTACATAAATACACTCCAACGTCTGAATATCTGCGTCTATTTATTTTAGATATAATCAAAATGACCCCACAATGGAGACTATTTTGAAGAAGCAAAAAAAGATAACTGCATTGGAAGTAGGTTAGTAAACACTTCAGGTTAAAATAACCAAGCATCCATTTTATTAGGGGGTTGTTTTTTATATTCCCTTCTTGTTTTATTATTTCAAAGGCTGTAGCTTTAAGTGATTAGAGACAAAGTTCTGGAAATTACGAAAAGAAAAAAGAAGTTCTGTGTGAATATTGACAGGGTGCAGGGGGGAAAAAAAAAATCAAAAAGCATATCCCCTGCTGGGAAAAGTGTTAGTGCCAAATAAAATAAATGATGTACCAGAAATTAAACCACGACATCACATGAGAACTAAATCCCAGGACATGGGTTGTATAAATCTTTCACCACTAAGATCTGCATGTTACTAATTCAGCTTTTGTTCATTTTTAGGTTAATTTTTGTTAATTTGATCAAAATGAAAAGTAACCCTCTAACTTGTAGTGTCTTCTGTTAAGAGATTTTTTTTTTATTTTAGGAAGACATTTTTTTACTTTTGTGGCATTTCAAGGAAAGCTTTCAAACTCTTCAAAGAAAGCTGTAGACCTGCAAGTGATTTTGATTACTCACCTGTTTGAGGCAGCCTCACCTGTGGAGCCTGACTAGGTAGCACTTAAAGTACAATCACTCTTAAAGTTGTTTAAAAAAAACTTTATTCTACGAGACTTACAGCTTTTTTTTTTCCAGACACAAAAATGAATCAACATTTTGTTTTTGAATTTACTGGTTAGTAACATCTCAAGAAATATAAATAACATAAAATCTGGCATTAATTTTAGACTTTTTTTGCAGTCAGTTTCTCCTGCTCACCATGACGTCACTGTTTGAGGTACTCCAACAGAGAGAAATAGTTATTGATAATCTCGTCAATTAAGTTAGTTTGGTTGAACGTTTAAATTCCCCTTTAAGCCAAAACAAAGTTAATTAGGATAACGTTGATCCATTTAATTTTCTCATAGAGCCCCTCTCACTTAACACTCAACTTAACGTTTTTATTGTAGGCTAATGTATTGAACTAAATATTTTAGTCCTTCTCCACAAGTGTCCTCATTCATTTTTATTAAATTTTTCACATTGACATGTTCCAGTCACATATTAATGGAATAGATATGTTTAAACTTAGTTAGGAAATACATTAGCTAGAATAACTTTGTGTACTAGGTCACCCTATGTGGCTCTAAAAATGTCTTAAATCTGCCTTAATGAATTTTTGATGATGCACTCAGTTGTAGCATATCAATATTTTAACCTAGATTCAGCGTCAAAGGCTCAGCTGATGTAGTTAGTATTCATCTTCAAGTGAAACTGTTTAGTTTATAAGATTTAGAATATATGCTCTTAGAAAAAGTGTGTGGCTCTTAAAAGAGCCGTTGGGTTGTTTCTAGGCAGATCTGAGGTTTATGCTCGCTCTCCACGGATGCGGCGGGCCAGCTGGATGTCTTTGGGCATGATGGTGACCCTCTTGGCGTGGATGGCGCACAGGTTGGTGTCCTCGAACAGACCAACCAGGTAAGCCTCGCTGGCCTCCTGCAGAGCCATGACGGCGGAGCTCTGGAAGCGCAGGTCGGTCTTGAAGTCCTGAGCGATCTCCCGGACCAGGCGCTGGAAGGGCAGCTTGCGGATGAGCAGCTCGGTGGATTTCTGGTAGCGGCGGATCTCTCGCAGAGCCACGGTACCGGGCCTGTAACGGTGAGGCTTCTTGACGCCGCCGGTAGCCGGGGCGCTCTTCCGGGCAGCCTTGGTAGCCAGCTGCTTCCTGG